ACTCTATGCCAGCACAAACAAATAAGCAAGTAAACAGATATCACCGAATAGCCCATCGCCTGGCAGGAGTGAGCAGCGGAGTCTGAAAATAACAAACAGATGAACAAGTAAACAAACAACATACAGTAAATAAATGTGTTGTTTTCCTCGTCCCCAGGCTCTGCTGGTGTTCCTGCTGTGGTGAAGAGAGGAAACAGACTCCATTGTACACAATTTCATACTGTTTACCTTTTAGAAATGATGGAAATACAAACTAAATCCATTGTATGTATGTGTGTGTGTGTGTGTGTGTGTGTGTGTGTGTGTGTGTGTGTGTGTGTGTGTGTGTGTGTGTGTGTGTGTGTGTGTGTGTGTGTATGCATGGGTGGTTCTCAGGGAGTGTAACAGCATTCAGCCGTGATACTTCAGGACTTGATCCGCAGCTTTGATGTCAGCTTTGGGACTGATGAGGTAACAAACATTCAGATCTTTAGCCGAGTGAGAATTCACCCTCCTTGTGGTCATATGATGGCATGTCACAACAATACTAATCAAAATGGCTTACCGAGCCTGTGTGAACGGAAGGGCAGCTTTAATAAACTCTTTTTGAGTCTTCAAAATGGGAAAGTTCATTAGCAAATGGGGTGTTTTAATTAGAAGTAAGACATATTTCAGAAACACTGCCTGTTTTAGTAGTACAGACTAGAGATGTGATGTAATGCAATGAAATGATTTTATTTGTGGGATTTTTTGTTAGTGTAAATTTTGTATAATTTTGTATTTATTTAGCTATATAAATATTTGGAGGTAGCACGGTGCCTCAGTGGTTAGTAATGTCACCTCACAGCTAGATGGTTACTGGTTCGGGCCCCAGCTGGGTCAGTTGGCGTTTCTGTGGAGTTTGCATGTTCATCCCCTGGTTTGTGTGGGTTTCCTCCGGGTGCTCCAGTTTCCCCCACAGTCCAAAGACATGCGCTATAGGTGAATTTAATTAACTCAATTGACCATAGTGTATGTGTGTGGATGAGTGTGTATGGATATTTCCAAGTACTGGGTTGCAGCTGGAATGGTATCTGCTGTGTAAAACATATGCTGGATAAGTTGGTGGTTCAATCCGCTGTGGCCACTCCTGATGAATAGGGACTAAGCCGGAGGAAAAGTAATGAATAATTATATATTTGGTTGCCATGACAAGCCTAAAAACATAGAAATGACAAAAAATACAACTAACTTACAGAGAAAAAAATTATTAATGATTATTTTTAAATTATGTAAATTGCTAACAACTTACATTTCTGCTTTTATTTAAATTGCCAAATTGACTTTTTATTTTCACAAAGCAACCTACTTGATTTATTGGTTGATTCATTGATATTAATTGTGATTGTGTATTTATTTATTTAAGTGATACGATGAAATTACACCACATATGTTGTAGATTAGCACTTTTTTAGTTTTGTTTTATTAAGATATTTATATAGTTTTTAATTTTAGTTTAGATTTTTTGTCTTTTTGTTTTTTATTTCTGTATTTTTTATTACTTTTGTTTTAAGTCAAAATTACTTTTGTTTTAAGTCAGTTTTATCTACTTTGAATAAAAAATCTTTGAAAATCATCAAAAAAAGTACTCAGAGTACAGATCAAAATAAAGAACATAGTACAAAATAAAGTACAGAAAAAATTAAGTACTTTGGGATATATATATATATATATATATATATATATATATATATATAATTTAAAGAAAGCAGTGTTGTGTTCAACCCAGAATTTTCCATTATTGTAAACCAGATCAGGATTATATCAGATGCATCAATGCGACTGATTATCTTATGATGTAGGCCTGCCAAAAGACTATACGAGTGTAAACTCCACTATTAATTTATATTTTTAGTTAAAACTGTCTGTTTAAAAGTTGATCATCAGGTTTGTCCAAACTCTTGCACACAAATCAATCTGCTTTATCTCCAGCTGTGATCTTGTTTGCAGGTGTGTGTGTATGTGTGCTTGTGTGAGGTGAACTGTATGTGGGTTAGTTAGAAAGTCAGTCATCCTATGGGTTCTTCTTGTAATCCTTTCATGAGTGCCTCATTAGCCTGTGATGGCCAAACCACAAGAGTGTTTAATCTTAACCCCGTGACGGGGAACAGACCAAATCTCCCTCTGTCCTTCTTACCACGGCCTCAAAGTATCTATTTTGGACAACAGACTTTGCTTTGCTTGATCATGTTCACAAGGCAAAACAAGTTTTTAAATCTGTGTTTGCTTGAGTGTGTTTGATCAGGTTAATCTGATGGGAAAACTTTGCAAACACGCACACACCTATTATATAAGAATAGTTTAGCATCTTCTTTTGTCTTTCAAAATACTCAAGTTAGTCCAAAAATATTGTTTGGGGTGTGAAAAGTTTCTCGTTTTTACAAATTTGATTTAAAATGCAGTTATAAATTTGGAAGTTGACAAATAACTTTTTTTCCCATAAATCTAAAGCTATAAATATACGGTGCGAAAGTTCAGTCAGGCTCTGTGTTTTTTGGCCAGGACTCTGAGGTCCATATGGCAGGACACAGAAGTGAAGTCAGCATTGTTTTATGAGCCTGCTGCCTTCATTTTAAGCCAGCATGGCTACATCTTGGATTATTGATTTTTCTAATGAATATGTCTTGACTAATGGGGGTCGTATCCTATTGTCCAGTGGCGATGTGAATGATTGCCTTTTTTGATGGTTCAAGTAAAAGAGATGTTTTTTGCTGATAGAAAGTTTTCACTGACCATAAAATAAATCAAGTTTCAACATTTTTGATAAGATGACAGATTACTGATAAAGCACCTTGACTATCCAATAAAAGTTGAAGTCATATTCATAAATTAACAACTTGCCCATATCCTACATGGTCCTAATTGTTGAAATTTTCAATAATAATTTTATAGAGATACCATCGCTTGTGATGTGTATCTACAGTAATTACACTTTTAGTAAATGATATAGTAACAGTTCAGTTACTGTCGATACACATAAATACACAAAGGCTTTTATACATTTCATCAGGTATTATATATAAATAACTCTCCTTGCTATTGTTGTTTTCATGTATAGTCTTCATGTTATCTGTTTGTGTATATCATATACTAGAACATGAATATATCAATTATTTATTAATTAAATAATAATACTACACAGCAATATCTATATCATATCTATATCATCTACATTTTATCTTAATGATCATGATGATAATAGGTAAAAATGATAAGAAGTGCAATGTGAATAAATAATAATAATTATAATAAATACATATATAATAACAACAACAATAATAATAATAATAATAATAATAATTATTATTATTATTATTATTAATATCATTATTATTTATTACCATTGTTCTTCTTATCATTATTACTTTTTAATTAAAGTTCATCATCATCATTATTAAGATCAAATGTAAGACACTGTAATAATAATAATAATAATAATAATAATAATAATAATAATAATAATAATAATAATAATAATAATAATTATTATTATTATTATTATTATTATTATTATTATTATTATTATTATTGTTATTGTTGTTGTTGTTGTTGTTGCTGTTGTTGTCATATATTATATTATATGATATATTAATATATGTAATGGAGTATTGTTATTAATTGTTTTGTTATTGTGATGTTATTACTCGATAATTAATTTAATTAATAGGTATACATACTTTGATGTTGATGATGATGATAAAGTATAGTAATGTTATTTATTTGAGTCTTGCATATTTTTGTTGATGATGATGACGATGATGATGATGATGATGATAATGAAATGCAATAAAAATTTACAAATACAACTTTTGTACTACTACTGCCATACTACTTCTAAATTATTATTTTATTATTATTATTATTATTATTATCATTATTAATACTCATATTAATAATAATACAGTATTGTTATTAGTTGTTTATTATAATGTTATTTATTAATAGTCAAATTATGATATATTCATAATTTAATTATGATAATGGTACAGTATACTAATTAAAACAGTATTTCTTAACTATCAAACTATTAAAACATATATCAGTGTACTATTCAACATTATCTAGATTTTGTCTAGAATATTTTGTCTTGATTATGCTTATTATGATGATGAAATACAATGCAACTTTTTCAAATACAACTGCTATACCAGATTACTAAATTATTATTGCTAATGTTGTTGTTGTTGTTGTTGTTGTTGTTGTTGTTGTTGTTGTAATGTTTAAATATTCGCATTTCACAACAATTATAATAAACACTTATCGACAGCAAAACCAAATGTGTTGCAAGATTGGACTTGTTATTTCCTAAAGAGTAGAGATGTGGAGTAGGTAACGGTTCCCATGGTGAGGCTGTCCTTTGACTAACATCTGTTGCTCGTCCGCGGCCACAATGGCCCAACTAAACCCGCGATGCGCGCGCAGGTGAAGAGATCAGCACCCGGAGCGCGCGAGCTTTTGTATTGTGTTCAATCAGAGCGGCAGCGCAGATGTGCGCAGCGCGCCTGTTCTAGACGCATTACGGTAGAGCAAACTGTCCCCTAACACATCGCCAACACAAGACACAAGCGGAGTAATTCAACACTGATTTCTCTGCGAATGAGCGAGGAACAGACGAGATGCCAAAAACTCCAGCGAGAAGCATTATTGGGACTTTAGGAAAACTCACCGTGTGACTAACAGAGAGGAAGAGAGAAGACCTGAAGCGACGAGGAGGCGTAAAGAGCCGCGTGCTTGTTCTTCATGAACTTTGAGGAGCGCTGTGACCATGCAGCCTTTGAGCTAGTGCACGATTATTGTTTTCACTTATCACCCTACTGAGTGACCAGTCTGAGGGAGAGGAAGCCAGTAAAAAGGAAAAGAAGACTAATAAAGACAGTTGTCGTTTAAAGTAATGGTCTGAAGACATCACTCATAGAACAGGATTTTTTTTTTTCCTTTTTGCGTTGCTCTTCTGAAGGTTTCTGGAATCACTGGGACATTCACGAGAGCTGGAGCGACACATCCACATGGTCCAGCCGTAGAGTGAAAGTAGAGTTCTTCACAATATCCTAACAGGTTCATATACACTTTTTTACTTCTTTTTCTTTACTTCTTTGCTCCTCGCGCGATTCAGCGTTTTTAATATTAGCCTAATGTGTATTCCACATTTGAATGCACGGACGTGTTATCACACACACATTTATTCAGAGCAATAGAAATAAATGTTACAGTCATAGTTTTTTTCTTAGATATTTCGCCAAATGGGATACTAAAGCTCGCATTGGAACAATGTAACTTTTTTACGTGACACTTTTAAACCGGGGACGAAAGCGTGCATTTATTCTTCACGAGAGAATCATAAATCATTATGATTTAGTTACCCGCAAACTTCACTATAACAATAAATAAGAACGCAAAAGCAGTTTGGATAAAGTTAACAAAACATAGCGATTCAAACAAGTTTAATAAACATGCATCTGCGTTTGAAAATAGGCTATCGCCTGCCCTTACTTTTGATCTAAACTATAAGATGACTTTTTTGACAGATCAAATAAAATAGTTTGAGATAAATCGGTGCTATTTTGCATTTGCTTTCTTTTGAAGAATGCCATGCTTCACTTACAGAAATGTAGAAATCAGATGGCCGTACAAAACTCTCATGATAAATAATTCAAGACAATAAACTGCATGTAAATATACAAGTTTAAAAAGTCTAATCACGTTTTTTATTTTAATAATATACCTTCAAGCAATTTTCCCCTAATTCTCCGTGTGGCTGATTGTTTTTAACAGGCCCTCAGGAAACAGAGAGCAGATCTTATGTAAATAACTCATAACAATCCGTAAGTTTTCATTTTTATCAAATAAACCGATTTTTAAAACCGACTTTTTAAAATTATAACGTTTGTTAAAACCAAAAAAATCCAAGGGACATATTGAAATTATTTATAGTTGTTTTAGTGTCATTTGTACCGGTGTGTTATTAAGACAATATAATATAAAGATGCAACGCATAAAATACTTTAAATACATTAACTCGGCATTCATAATTATTTATAATCACTAATTTAAGTGTATTGATTACCGCGAAATACAATGACATTAGTAAAGTTAGTATTGGCGCAAAAGCAGATTTCCCCAAAAAAGGGATGAACGTTATTTACCTCATTACTTACGTCAAAAGAACGTATCATAATTTAATATTTTATTTTCATTAGTCAGTTTTGCTTCACTTTAGTAATTAACAGACAAACTTTAGTGGATTAAAAACATAATGCTTTTATTTTGAGTTTCATTTACAAATGAATGAGCAAGATTAACTTTTGTTTTTAATTATTTACACAGTTTTTCATGATTTTGTAATCGTTTCGTAATTAAATCAGCGATATTTCGGCTTAAAATCTCTAAAATAAAATAATAAAACTAAACTTGCAACAATTTCAACATTTGAGTACGGGCATAAAGTGAATCTGCAGAGGGAACTACAGCTCACGAGTTGAACCAAGTGTACTGTTAAATCGCACTCTTCTTGACTTATCCCTATTCAGTCTTTTTCTGCAAAACCAAAAAATATACATCATCATCATCCTCATAATCTGGCAGTGTGCATGTAAATCTCATGTTATTAAGAACTGATTGATGGAGCTTTTGACACAATTAATTTAAATCTCATATATAAGTAATGGCTTAATTCACTTTTAGCATTTACGACTTAGTTCAAACATTTATTAAATCACATTTGTTAAGTCTAAGAGATAGCGTTATATTATTTACTTTGATGTCAAAATGTTTCTGATAATTTTAATTTGTTTAATCATTGTAATTATTTCATCTACATAATTACTGACAGCATTTAAAAGCACATAAAAGAGCTTTTGAAATTGTTTATGAAAGAATGCTTGCATAGAATATTTTGTTTATTTCCACACACATTTTTTTTTGTGTTAAGATTATTTTTTATTGAACTATGTTACATTCCACGCTGAAAACACTTTTTTTTTAAACTCAGTGCTTTACTTTTGTGCGTTTACAATGTCCGTTTACAGATATATTGCCTCTTATGATAAACAGATTCCCTGCTAATTGAAATGTGACATGTGTAGATGAACATAAGCATAAAGTGATGAATACAATTTCCATTTCATCTGCTTGTGTGTGAGATGAATAGAGTGATTGAATGATGTTATGTGCTTCGAGTTAAAGTGATAATTCATGAAGTTGACAAAGAATAAGGCAGATTGTTCAGGGAGGGCATGAAAATGACAGTAAAGTGGGTAATTTAGTTATTTGCATGGCCGTCAAGCAGCTGCAAGCGGCAATAGCTACACCTCAGCCGATAGTTTTAACACTCTATTTCTAACGGCTCACACCAGACTAGTGTAAAGTTCAGGATTTTAAGTGATACATCACTAATTTTCTGTTAAGTGATTGTTTTATGTTGTTCTTCAGGTTCATAAAGACTACATACCTGACTTTTGGAGGTCTTTCGAATGTTATTTTGATAAATGTGTGGATTGCATGGCAGGCTGGTGTTGAGCCCTCTGTGGGTATTTTTCTGGGTAAAGAAGGTCAGGAATGTGTTTGTTTTGGAAAACGATGTTGAGACTAACCTGATGCCAGGTGTACATTCAGGCATGTAGCTTTTTGATGCATATTTTAGGAACATTTGCTGATTGAAACTTTATTTGAACAACCAAGTGCAAATATATGTTGGAGTGTACTGTGCGAAAAAAGCATTTAGTGTGTGTGTGTGTGTGTGTGTGTGTGTGTGTGTGTGTGTTCTCGTTCAAATTCAGATGAGCCTCAGTCAAGTGATTTAGTGGTAAATGTAAGTTTTTCAACACCACGGGTGGTTTTAACACAAAGCACTCTGCTTCTTGTGAAGCACTGTCCCTTAGACCCTCACGTGGCATTTCCACCATTAAACTCTTGTATCGCTCCAAAAAATAATGTTAGTTTTTACACAAGTGCATTTTTAACCAAAGCATGGTGAAGAGCAATCTCTTAACAGATCAGGATAGTTTTTGTCAGATGTACTTTTGGCTAACTCTTCTCTCCAAAACATGTCTGTGTGAAATATGTCATGCCTACGTTCTCCCTTTCATATTTCAGCTGACCTTACGTGAAAGGTCAGGCTGGAATTTTTACGCTCGTTTGCGCCTTTGAACGCATCAGCTCCGCCGTTGACCAGCGGCAACCACCAGCCGTAGATTAAACATGTGGTTTTAATTGGAGATGTTATTTGGTGGAACAGCGCGGCTGAGCATTTTTCAGTGTATGTGAATAATAAATTACGCACGTTTTTAGACTGTGAGGGCTGCTTTTATTACTACTCAGAGAGTGGTGTCATTTTCTCCCCAAACTCTGAGCCCTAAAAGGGGAAAAAAAGGAGCTAACTACACCAAACAACTGACACTGAAGCCATTTCAACCAACTGCAAATTAAAAACTGCAAATAAAAAAAGAGACCAGACTGACGGATGTTTTCCAGATGACAGTGTTGATCTGATTAGCTATCGAAATGGTCTGGCGTTAACTGTTTCAACTTTGAGACAGACCAGACTGCTGTGCGGAAGTGCCGTCTAGGCTATCCGTCAGCTGAAGATGCTGCTGGATGCTGTTTTCTTATGGTCTATTTGTTCCAAATGTGAATTTAATTCTCCACTTGAACTCTTAAGCACAGCTTCTCTTCCCCGTGACCTCAGTGGCACTTTTTTTTTTCACTTTCTTGGTTTTCGCGCACAAGGTTTCCTGTGTGGAGAGGCTTCACGCCGGGATTCGGGAGAGTGCCAGGCTGTTATGAGGTGATGACTGTCTTAAAGAATGACCCTAGCATTTGCTTGGAGAGAGGAAGGGCCCATTTCCGATGAGCTGGGGAAATGTGGTAGAGGGAAAAGCAGGGTGTTCACTGGACGGAAATGACAGTACTTGAGTCTGAGGCGTTGATCATTACTTCGCTATATCCATTAGCAGAGCACCTCAGGAGAGATTACTGGCAGCTTGAAGCTGCAGGCACGGGTGGAAAGTGAACTACAGTATGGTCAATCACACTTTTAGAAAGAGTTATGCCTTTTTTTTGGCCAAACAAATTCAGGTACCTGTTGTTTTGATAAAGAACACATGTATTGATAAGTGAAACCTAGATAGCGAGTCAGGATGCATCTTGAAGTAGCTCCCTGTGGCCACCGAAGCTGCTTCTGCTAACTTCGCGTTCCAGCTGACAGCTGTATTTGTGTTATGGATTTTCTCTCAGTCCGCTGTCTCCCCCCTCGAGCCTTCACCCCCTCCTGAAGGGTCTTTATAATGCGACTCGCTGTATATTTTAAAAACCCTAGCATAACGTTGACAAGCCATCATGTCCGTCAGAGAACATCAGTAAAGCTCTTTGGGAAAGATGGGAGCAAACTTTCGGCACTGTCACAAAAGATGTGACTTGATGATGGACTGACAGCTGCGGCTTGTTTGAATGCGTCTCAGTAAAGTTTTCCAGCACTTCTATCGCTGAAACAATCCCGCTTATGACGCCAATGCTAAGCTCTCAAAACAGCGATAGCGATTACTGAAAACTTCTGCCTTAACAGGAGAGGAGAAAAGCTCTGATGTTTTATTCTTCTGCTCGTTGCCCGGCTTTGTTTGGCGGCAATGGCGGGAGGAATTCCTGTCAGTGTTGCCGGCCGTGGTAAACCTTAGTCCGGGTTTAAAACTCTAATCCACCCCCAGCTGCCGAAGGTGCGAGCGGTTTGTTCCTGAGGGAGATTCTGGCTCCGCACTGTACGCTTGGATAAATCCCCCTCCCCACTGTGTGACCATATAAGTAATAACCATATAAATGCATCTAATTTTCATTCGCTAATCCGTAAAGTAGCAGCGGAATGGAGAAGTGTTGGTTTCTTTTATGGTATTAGTAATGGGTAACAAGGGGATGCCTACTTAAGTTATTTGCATTTGAAACAGACGAACGTGATACATCTTTTGACAGAATTATCTTTTAACCACGTGTAAAACAAAATCAGATTCATCCTTCCGTTTTTTTTATTGATTGCATGCGCCTCGCTTCTACCTTGGATTTCCTATGCA